ACTTTGAAATTCTACTCTTGTTTTAAGATACCTTGCAAGAAATCAAATAAGTCACCTCAGCGCGGGTATCTTTACGAATATGAAGTACTTAGGAATACTGTAAGTAACAGAAATATTCAGGATAYGCAAACGTGAGTGAGAGGAATCGCACATGGCATGGGAAAACATTACTCCAATGAGACAGTGAAATAAATGTTTTTCCATTTGCCATTCTGTGGGTGAAAAAAAAAACTGGTCTGAGTTGGCATTGCAGTGAATTTTAGGTCTTTCTTAAGGCTGGTTTAGACGGTACGATTTTCGCCTACAACTATCGTATGCAACACGCTCGCGTCTGTCGTAGGCGAGTTGTAAGCTTTATTTACACGCTACGACTCGAGTTGTAAGATGGCGCGAGCGTGTTGTATACGATAATTGTAGGCAAAAATCGTACCGTCTAAACCGGCCTTTATAGGGCAAAATAGAAAGCGTTTTGGGAATATGTGCCCTAAAATAGCCCCACAGTGACTGCAATGCAAATTTGACCCAGTTTTTATCTTAACACTGGAACGGCTAATTCCAGGCCACATTTGAGTGTTTCTTTTAAGTTTTTTTGATTTTCTTTAAGAGGAAAAAATACTGCCAAATGAGCCGATATATACTTGAATTGATGGTTTTCACGACGGCCATGTTGGAGGAACTTAACAAAAGAATTGTTAATGAATTCTTTTGTTATATCCTCCAACATGGCCGCCATGTCTTTTGTTATTTAATTCTCTTGGGAATGGTTGAAAACCATCAATACCTTAATAATGAAAACTATTATTACAAAGTAATATTTGCTCTTTTCAGAGATCTATCTGGAAACAACCTTAAGATCGTCAAAGCAGAACCATTCGCCGGACTGCAATTGCAACAAATGTAAGCTAAAGCCCCGTCCAAACMAATACGTTTTCGCGCGTCTATTGCCGGCTTTCAGTCAGCTGATAAAAGTCTCTGAATTTCATCATCTGCTCCACATGGGGGTCAAACACTGACCACCATGTGCTGTCAGCCAGAAAGAATTCTATTGAAAACTTGCGATTCAGCTGATGAACATTCCGCATGAGACGAAATTACGTCACTCGTGTGACTCAGCAATACTTCAACGAAGGCATTTGAAAACGCTCTCTAGAGTGGAGACATTTGAAAACGGAGGCCTATCGYATTAGTGTGGACTGTGAAAACGGTGTTTTTCGATGCGTTGTCGGTGAGACGTAAACGTTATTGTGGAAGTCGCCTAGAGCGAGTGCAGTAAAACCATGGAATAAAAACAAAGKTGATGCTAACAAATGCTAGGTATTTAGTGAGTAATAGCTGCTMTCAYTCAACCAGAACACTCATTACACAAAAGACACAAATGGTCTCTTGTGTATTTGTCTTTGTGTAATGTTTGAATTTCAATGCAAACCCGAGCACGTGTGTTTTACCGTCGTTTGCATTRCTACGCGGCCACCCCAGACACAAATCGAGTCGTGTAGTTTGCAATAGACTGCCGTCGATCATTCATGTTGASGCCATTTATACACGTTTRGATCAGTGAGTTGGCTTTTCTATCAAACTTTCTCAGTCAGATATCACGAAGGAAAGTWCCGAAAGCGATTGCAAAGAGTWTGAGTATACATCCAAGTAGAATGARGTGTTTGATTGACGGCAGTCTATTGCAAACTACACGACGCGATTTGTGTCTGGGGTGGCCGCGTAGTAATSWAAACGGCGGTAACTGGTTTACAAACAARCCATGCCCTCTTTCTATRATGTTTGATGTAGGGTTTGAATTTCGATGGAAAACCTGTCCCGGGTTTTAAATTCAGCCCCTCTTTCCCCCTGCGAGTATCAAACAATAGAAATAGGGCGTGAATGGGTTTTAACTGCCATGAATAACTTGGGCTCAAAAATTAATGRCGCTGCCATTTTCTTTTCAGTTTGCTTGGAAATAACCAAATATCGCACATCGAAAACAACGCGCTCAACGACAGCAGCAGTGAACTGAATCTTATGTAAGTCAAAACTATTTTGATTTTGGAGCATCTGAAAACTCAACTCACCCATATATCCCTATCTCGTATTAAAAGAAATAATAAAATGACAACGAAGAGGGACACTTTAGATTTTAGTGCGTCTCCGGCATAGATTTTACCTTTAACAAATCATTCTTCTC